GCCTCTAACATGTACACAAACACACACACACGCGCATATACCTAATTCCTACTCCTGGATACTGCCTCTAACATGTACACAAACACACACACACACACACACACACACACACACACCTGATTCCTGCTCCTGGATACTGCCTCTAACATGTACACAAACACACACACACACACACACACACACACACACACACACACATACCTGATTCCTGCTCCTGGATACTGCCTCTAACATGTACACACACACACACACACACACACACCTGATTCCTGCTCCTGGATACTGCCTCTAACATGTACACAAACACACACACACACACACCTGATTCCTGCTCCTGGATACTGCCTCTAACATGTACACAAACACACACACACACACATACCTGATTCCTGCTCCTGGATACTGCCTCTAACATGTACACACACACACACACACCTGATTCCTGCTCCTGGATACTGCCTCTAACATGTACACACACACACACACACACACACACACCTGATTCCTGCTCCAGGATGATACCTCTAACATGTACACACACACACACACACACACACACACACACCACATACATACATACATAGACACACCTGATTCCTGATCCTGGATACAATCACCAGCATGTAAACACACATACACACAAATGGAGTAACACAGGCCCATGCATGACTGCACCTGCAATGACACATACAATCACATGCAAAATCAGGTACTGACTTTGTGCTGACACATGAAGTCACAAGACAGTCATACAAACACAGAAGCCTGAACATGTACAACCCCAGAAACACGCATACAGTGCCACACACTGACACACATAAACATCCAGTCTCCAGCACCACAGACACACCCATCAAAGACAAACACCTGTAACCCCTCCAAGTCTCCTCGGAATCTCAGCCAGAGAAGGGAGGTCAGGCCTGGGGCTAGAGCACTAACCGAAGGACAGGCCATCTACAGACCTGAACAGGCAGGAGTCACTGGGAAAGGCCCATGCAGAGAGGGCTAGGTGGAACATACAAAGCTCTAAAGTGAGATTGGTGGTGGGGAGGGGGTGGGAGGGTGGGGTCACAGAGTGGACCTACAGTGCTAAGAAGAATCACAATGATTGACCACCATCCTGGTTTGGCCAGGACTTGGGGCTTCTTGTCCAAGGTAGGTGAAATCCTGGGCCCACAGTGAGATTATCATACCAGAGAACAGATAGGAGCAGAGACAAGTCTCCATCCTCCACCTGAAAACCTTGACATCTCAGCCAATTAGGCTAGGGGGTGAGACAGAAAATAGGGCACCTGGGAACCTGCCACACCTAGACACATGGAGATAAAAACCAAGCAGACTGCATAGAGCCACCAGATGGAAGCTTAAGCCTCCTTCAGGGACATCGGCAGCCTGGCCATCTGTGTGGGCTTCCAGGGACGCTGCCTGTATGGGAACAGCACAGAGGCAGCCTGCTGGAGAGATGGCCTCTTAAGCAGCAAATGGCTGCTCTTCTCCCTGCTGTGGAGTGTCAGAGGCCCACAGGGGCCTGCTTTCATTCCGAAGCTGTAGAGTTGGTCGGGCACAAGTGTTCCTTGTTCATATTTTCCTCGATTCATTCATTTACTCATGCATACATACACATACTGAGTATCCCTGTGGAGCACTATATGCCACCCAGCAGAGCATGTGGACATAAAGCAGGGAGTCCTACTGCCTCACTACTTGTTAGAAATGAATGAGGGACGATGGAAGGGACCAAGAGAGGGACTGAGTTGAATATGCAGCTGGAAAAGGTGACAGTTAGGCTGGAGCTTGGGAGATGATGAAGAACTAGCCAGCCAAAAAGGGCAACTCAGTGCATTCAACACCTTAAAGGGTGGTGTTGGGGATAGAGCTCAGTTGATAGACGGCGTGCCCAGCATGTGGGAGACCCTGGGTTTGAACCCAGCATCAAATAAACTATGTGTGATGGAGCACATCTGTAATCCAGCACTAGGGACGTAGAGGCAGGCAGGAGAATCAGAAGTATAAGGTCATTCAGACTACAAAGTGAGTTTGAGGCCAGCGTAGGCTACATAAGACCTTGTCTCAGAACAAAACAAACAAAAACAGACAAGGTAACTGAAAGGAAAGTCAGATGTGGTGGCATCCAGCTGTAGTTCAAGCCACTGGAGAGGCTGAAGCAGGGGGATTGTCTAAGCTAGGACACTGGAGACAAGCTCAGAAAACATGGTAAGGCCTTCATTCTAAATAAATAACTAACCATAAATAAATTTAAAAAGGTAAAGTGACCAAGCAGGAGGGTGGGTGTGGAGAGCTGAAGGGCTGTTTTGGAGTCAGGGAAGGGGAGTGTGGGCTGTATGATAATCCTGGTGTCTTCTTTGGCTCCTGCCTCTCAGCATCTCCATGAATGGGGAGGTCATTGCCTGTGAAAGTGGCTGCCAAGGTATTATGGACACAGGGACCTCCTTGCTGACTGGCCCCCAAAACGCGATCCGTAACATCCAGAATCTCATTGGTGCCAAGGCCTCTAGTGATGGCGAGGTAAAGGGTCACGTGGGAGGGCCATCTGGGTTCTCCACACAGATGCAGGAGTGACTGGGCTAACCTCCAGCCTCTCCCTTTGACAGTATGTCCTCAAGTGCGACACCATCAACACCCTACCCGACATTGTCTTCACCATCAATGGTGTTACCTACCCGGTGCCAGCCAGTGCCTACATCCGGAAGGTAAGGAGTTTGGCAGTGGGGCTATTCTTCAAATCCTGGAAATAACAGCTGGGTTAGATGCATCTGCAGGTCAGGGCCATGGAGGAGAGTGTGCCAGCCAGCCCAGGGAGCAGAGGCTGAAGAGGACGGTGATGCACCATCCACAGGCTGCCCAACGAAGAGTGGGAAAGGCCTGCTCTGCAGACGGACCGGCTGGGCCAGGGTATGAAATGGCAGCGTAGGAAGGGAGCTACGAGTGGTTCTTCTCCCAGCTGGGCGAGCCACCCTGCAGCAGCTGGAAAGAGCCGCACAGCTCGTGAAGGGAGGACACCAAGCTGATGTAGCTCAGTTGGTAGAGCTTTTGCCTAGAATGCAGGAAGCCCCGAGGTTTGTCCCCAACACTGCATAAAGTGGGCATGCTGTGCACATCTGTCATCTCAGCACTTGGGAGGCTGAGGTAGAAAGATGAGGAATTCAAGGTCACCCTCAGCTACATAGTGAGTATGAAACCAAACTGGGCAACATGACACCCTGGCTCAAAAAAAAAAAAAGGCAAGAGGCTGAGCAGCCGGCTGCCGGGTTCATAATGGCTGAGCAGCCAGCTGCTGGGTTCATACAGTGCCCTTCTTTTTTAGGGTCATTCACATGTCTGCTCCAGCAACTTCGAAGAAGACCTAGATGACTCTTCGGACCCTGAGATGTGGGTGCTGGGGGATGTTTTCCTAAGGCTGTATTTCACCGTGTTTGATCGAGCAAATAACAGGATTGGTCTGGCTCCTGCTGTGTGAGTGCTGGGCCTCCTTTAGAGGATGGCCAGGCATACCCCCAACACAGACACGAAGGCTCATGAGGCCTTCCCATCCAGGAGCACCAACCCCAGCTATCGGGAGCTCTGCAAAGTCCTGTTCTGGGGAGAGAATAAAGATTGCATTCCCAAAGCCACTGATGCTAATGACTGCTCTCTTGGGGTCCATGAGGTATGCTGGAGTTAGACAGGGTTTTACTGTGTAGCTCAGGCTAGCCTAGAACTCACTATGGTAGGTTAGGTAGATCTCAAACTTTCAGCATTCCTCCTGCCTCAGACTCCAGGACGTTGGGAAGCAAGACTCCACCGTGTAGTGTCCATAGTAAGATAAACCATGAGTGACTGGCATGAATGAAGAGAAAGCCTTCAGGAATGGTATTAGGAAGATGCAGAAAGAAACAGTCAGTCACAGGCCTGGCAGTCAGAGCATCTGTTCCCTCCCTCTCTCCCTCCTCTCCTCCCCTTTCATTCTCTTTGCCTCTTGGTTTCTTTCTCTCATACTTTGGAAGTCAAGGACTTTGTTGCTACTCGCCCTGGGATTTCACATCATAAGGAAGGACACAGTTGGGGGGAGAAAATCCCAGAGTAGCAGGGAGGACTCTGACTGGTCCACCTAGAATGATGTATCCATCCTGGACCAAAATATCTTGCACACAGGGGAAAGAGATGTTAAGATTGGCTCTGCTTGGTCAGATGGTCATGTCTGTGACCTGGAGGTGACTGGTGTTTTTCTTTAGAACCACAGGGCTGTAGTGAGGAGTAGTCACTGATAAAAGTGGCAAAGGATGTTATAGACAGATAAGAGGGCTTGAGCTGACTCTTCAATGTCTTCCCACCTCTCCGTTCAGAAAGATGCTTAAAAGATAATTAAAAACAGGTTCTGGATACCAGGCCTGGTGGCACAGGCCAGTAATCTCAGCACCTGGAAAGGCTGAGGCAGGAGGATCCACAAGTTCAAGGCATGACTAGGCTACATAGTGAGTTCAAGGCCAGCCTGGGTATCCAGCCAAAATGTGAAAGAGGAGTGGGAGATATGGCTCAGCTTACTGTTCTACAGGGGAACAGAATTCAGGTCCCAGCACACAAACAACTGTAATTCCACCTCCAAGGGGCCTGACACCCACGTCTGGCCTCCATTAGAACCCTCACATATGTGCAAATACAGACATACACATAAATAAAACCTTCAGAAACTAAAGGGTAAAAGGAGGATGGAGGCTACCCCCACCCCGACCCAGATTCAAAAAGCAAAAAATTAGAAATGGGAACGCATCCACTGCTGTAAAAGTGGTGAGTATGGGCAACACAGAAAACAGTTGGGAGCAAGCTCTGGTCCTCCTCTCTCACCCGCACCTCTCCACCCACTCCTCCCCAACTCCCCTGGCCTTCACTGACCTCCAACACCTATCGTCTGAGCAGCTGTCCCCTGCTCTGGACTGTGATCTTGTGAGGAGAGAGATTAGCAGCTCAGTGTTTGACTAGGGTGGGGACATTCCAAACACATCTTGAAATGAACATTGCATGAAATCAGTGTTGAAAACAAAGCATAATGACAGAGATAATAGGCACCCCCAAAACATTTCTAGGATGGATGTTATGTGACATCAGTGTCAAGGGTGTGCAGCGACAGGATCACATGGGGCATGGCTCTGCACAAGCATGAGCAGACACTGCTGACTTAGTGTGCCAGGGCTACTGTAGCCAATACCACAGTCAAAGATGGGGGCTAAACAGAAATTTATGTTCTCACAATTCCAGATGCTAAAAGTCCAAAAGTCAGGTGTTTGAGCTATTTCTTCCACTGCCTTTCTCCTTGACTTATAGACCATCTTCCCTGAGACCCCACTGGATTACCCCCAGGGTCACACACACCCACCAGACCACTGGCAGAGAGCTCTGTCTGGTGTGTCCCAGGCATGGCGAGACACTCAGATGGTAGACTCTTCCTTCTTTGAGATGTCTGTTGTAGGCTGTTGGGGAGCAGGAGTGGGGGTGTCCAGGAGAGCAGCAGAGAGTCTTTGAGGCTTCAAGGGGGTAGGGAGGGTCTCTGAGAGGTCAGGACCAGTGGTTGAAGGTGCTTCTGCTTCAGTCAAATGGGCGGCAGACACAGGCCACTGGAATGCTGCCCCAAAGGCTGAGGAGGAGCTCTCTGGAGTGGCAGGTGACCAAGGAGACCCTGGAAAGCCTGGAGGTAGAGTGGAGGATCCAGGAGAGACCGAAGACCCTGCTGAGGACTCGGGAGGCTGGGAGGCTCCAGGTTCCCCTAGAAATGTGCCCTCTGGTTCCAGTGGGGGTGAGGATGAGGTGTGCGCTACTGGTGGACCTGGGAATGCAGTCTGCGCACCAGACACGTTTGTTCTCAGAAACAGCTGCAGGAGCTGGAGCATGGGCCTTGCAGGTGATGCTGATGGAGGCCCTGGACAGGAGCTACAGTTGGCAGGGACTTCAGGGTCTCCATGAAGGCTCTGAGCAGCTTTGCCAAGGTCTCCATGAGGGGAGGGTTGCTGCCTTTCTTTTGGAGGAAAGAGGGACTCTAGACAGAGGTGGGGAAACAGGGTCACAAGGGTTCACTCTAGTTGACATGAGCCACTCTGGGGACAGACACCCTGCTCCATCCTCACAGGGGACTCAACACACCCGGTGAGGACCGTAGTGGGCTGCCTTCGACCTCCATGGGTAGAAGGCTGAACAGAAACTAGGAGTGGAAGAAGGCAATTCACTGGAGAAACCCTCCCAGGAAGTTTTGGAAAGCATGTGACTCAGCCTGCTTCCTCCTTGGGTCTTAGTTTCCCACATGGACGAGTGCCAGAGACCAAAGGATAAGGAAAGAAAGAGTCTAATATTGGGCCTCTGTTTCCCCACTTGCAAAATGGGCATCCCAACAGACTGAAGCAAGGCCAGATGCAAGACCACAGAGGATGTCTGAACCTAAACCCTCACACTGGCTACGGCCTGCAGGGGTCAGGACAGGTCAAGCTGGGCACACCAGTGAGAGCAGCCATGTGTCACTCTGCTGTGGGGAAGATGGATCTGTGGAGCCAGATGATACAGGAATGCTCTGTAGCCCACTCAACTTTGCTATGAACCTAAAGCTATCCAAAAAATAGGCAATCCATTTTTAAAAAATTTTAAAACAGTATTCCATGTGGTTAGGCTAGCCTCCAACTCACTAGATAGCCAAGGATGAAAACTATTTGTTTATTTGTTTGTTTGTTTGTTTGTTTATTTTGAGACAGGATATCACTATGTCCTGGAACTTAGTGTATAGATATAAACCTGGCTGACCTTGAACTCACAGAGTTTTGGAATTCAAAGTTTCGCGCCTTCTAGCCCAACAAATTTGAACTATTGATCCTCCTGCCTGAGGATTATAGGCATGCACCACTACATCTAACTTATGTGGTGCTGGGGACTGAGTCAGGGCTTCATGCGTACTAGACAAGTGCAGTGAACTAGATTCAAGCCCCAGCACTGACTGAATGAGAGTGAATTAGTAACTGTCTCCGCCTACTACCCCTCACACTGTAAGGGTGTGGCTCAGAGGAGAAAAGGAAGTTTGGCAAAAATAAAATAGCCAGTGACAAGCAAAGGAGGAATGAACCTTAAGAAAGGTTCAGCTGAGAGGAGGCAGATGCTGCTGTGCCCACTGGTATACTCTGAAAGTCCTCTAGAAGGCAATTGCACAGAGCTAAAATTATTAAGTCATATGCTTTAAATGTGTGAACTGGATGGCCTATGAATTGTGCCTGAAGGTAATTATTATTTTTATTACAGTGTGTGTGTGTGCGTATGCACATGTGCGCACAGCACACATGGAGAAGTCAAAGGACAACTTGCAAGAGTCAGTTTTCTCCTTCAACCATGTGTGTTATGGGGAGCAAACATGGCTCACTGGGCTTTGAGGCCAGTGTCTTTACTTGCTGAGCCATTCCACCAGTCTCTTTCAATGAAGTGGTTGTTCCTTTTACAGGGAGTTATGGGTAAGAGTAGCATGATGGTCTATACCATCCACCCCATTTTGCCCAGGCTGTGACTCAAGCTTTGTCCAGGGTATCTATAATGTTTATATTATAAAATTAAGAGTAAATAGAAAGAGTTCCTTTTACAGAGAGTTGGGAGTGTGGTAAGCAGAGCTGACAGTGTGCTCTGGGAAAGAAGTTAGCTCAGCATGTCTCCTCTTTGGGCCTTAGTTTCATCACATGGAGCAGTTGCAGAGAGCATGAGATGAGAGAGAGAGAGAGAGAGAGAGAGAAAGAGAGAGACCACCAATTAGAAACTTTCTCCCCCCAGGCTCTAGGACCCCATCTGGAAAACAGAGATAGCAGCAGGCCCTCGAGCCAGGCATTCCTGTAGAGTTGCTCAATGGGTGTTGTGTTACAGGTGACTGGTGTGCTGGCGACAGAGTTTCTGGAGCATGTGATGGGTAAAGGGAAGCATGGTCCTCCAAGTCCCCAGTGGTCCCCAGCACTGTCCCCAGCCCTAAACCTCCCTGGAGCAGACCACATCCTGGCATGACTTTGGGAGGCCAAAGATATGAAACAAACATTTCCAAGGAAGCAATGTCATTTACAAGAGAGTGGGGGGGAAAAACTACTATCTTCCTAGAAGTCGAAAAGACATAAAGAAGAGATATCTATGCACAGAGCAAACTGGGGAAATTAAAATTCTAAACAGCTTTGGAGACCATGGGAGCCATCTGCATCACTGGGCTTCCTTGAAGCTCCTTCAGGACCAGGTTATGGTGACGTGTTGTGAGAGACCCCAGTCTACTCCTGACATTCTCTGACTCAGTCTCCCTTACTAACAACCACACAGTCCTGACACAACCCATGAGATTTCAATAAAAATTTGACCCAGTATTTTCCACAGGACATACATTACCAGTGTATGGAAGGAAGGGAGATGGAGAGTGGGAAGAAAGAAGGCCTACAGAAATAGGTATACAAGAAAGGAGAGAGGGAGGGGGAAGGAAAGGAGGGAAGGAGAGAGGATGGGAGGAAGGGAGGGGGGAGGAAGGGAGAGAGGAAGGAAAGGAGTTAAGAAGGGAGGGAGGGAAGGAGGGAGCTCAATGAACTGGGAAGGAAGGAGGTAGAAAACCAGCTCAAGAGAATACAGTAGTTCCCCCTTATCCAAAGTTTTATCTTGGGTCACTTCAGTTATCACGGTCAATTGTTGTCCATAAATAGTAAATAGAAATTTCCAAAAGTGAACAGCTCACAAATTTTCCGTTGTGTGTCTTATAAGTAGCATGATGGTCTTGAGCATCCCACCCCGTCTTGCCCAGGCTGTGACTCGCACTTTGTCCAGGGTACCCATACTGTCTCCACTACCAGTCAGACAGTCACTTAGGAACCTCTCTGCTGTTAGTTTGCCAGTGATCTCAGGTAGGGTGTAGTTCCATCCAGTCTCAGCCGTCATTTGAAATCTCACAGTTAAGGGGGATCTTTCTTAAGTAGCCAGCTGTGTCCACATCAAAACTTCAGAGATGTACAGCTGAGAGCACTGTGTCTTGTTTGTAACTGTGTAATAAGAGCCGTGTGGATTGGCCGAGTCTGGGGCCATTACTGTGTCTCAGAACTCACAAGGCTGAAGCAGGAAGGTTCCTTAAATTTAAGAATTTAAGGCCAGCCTGGGTAACGTAAACCTCCTGTCTCAGAAAGGGGGTGAGGAATGGGTGAGGCCGGGGAAGTCCAAGGTGCAACACCAGCCCCACCTGCAGGCTCTGAACTTGACCCTATCACTACACACAGGCAAAAAAAAAAAAAAAACAAAAGGGGGGGCGTGTCAGACAACACAATACATCGTGGCATTTGGTATTTCATAATAAACAGCCCCGAAGCAGCAGCCTGCCAAAACTGTTTGACCTTGAACAGATCATGCTATCTGAGCCTGGGTCACCATAGCGCCCTTTCAAAGGCCTACATCTCTGAAAAGTTTTGCGGGGGAAGATGGTGGGAAAGGCTCAGGGCCTACTTACCTGGGCAGGAAGGGTCAGTACAGACTGGCTGGCAAGGGACCTTTTCGCAGCTCACCTCTCCCAGCTGCAGAAACAGAAAGACACCGTGAGGAAACATGGAGTACCCTGCCCACCTGTAGCAGAGTTCTCCAGGGCCTCTTGTGCCAGTAGTGGGACATGCAGAAAAGTGTTGGGTAGAGGCCGAAATGCCTGGGCCCTGGTCTGGATGATGGATGGGTGGCCAGAGGCGAAGAGGATGAGCAGGTTAGCTCGGGACCCCGGGTGTGGCGTGCAGGCCTGGCTGGCAGCCCCAGGCCCTCAGGCCAGCTCACCTGGCAGACGCACCGGGTACAGGGCGTGTCATCCAAGGTGAACACCTGACCATTCACTACCTTTCTCCCTTCGAAGTTACAGTCTGCAGAGTCAGAGGCGACAGAAGGATGAGATCCAGGTCACCTGGGAGACTTGGGAATGGGTGGCTTTTCCCACTCACCGTGGCACACAGGACAGCACTCGCCATCCGGGTGGAAGGGGTAGGTACAGGTGATGGGACAGTCCACAGGTGAACAGGCCACCGAGCCCAGCTGTAGGACACAGAACACACACGGCCCCTCCTGGGGACAGCTAGTACGATGCTAAGGAAAACCCAGGGCTCCCAGCAAGGCAGACCCATCTAGGCAGCCACGTTGACCATCCATGGTGAGATGGGGTTTGAGGGGTGACATTTTCTCAGCTAGGGTCCTCTCTAACATCTCAAGAACAAGACCTGACTTCATCTATGAGGTCACCTGACAATAGTGACCCATTGGAAAATGCAGACTTTATCCAAGAAAGATCAGCAACAAAAAACGAGGGAGAGAGCTAGGGTGTGGCTCAGGGGTAAAGTGTTTGCCCTTTGCAGCATCCAAACAAAAACAAGGAAACTCAGAGAAAGGACCAACATTTCCCAAAGCATGTGGCCGAGAATATACAGGGACAGCGGGCAGCGGACTGCTCAGAGACCACAGAGACATTTACCCTGCATTTCTCAACCCATGTGTTGACCTTGTCCCTTTCCACACAAGACCAGGGCTGAGGCTCACAGATGCACCGCCACTGTGCACATACAGCAGCTCCAGCCAAGCACTAACTTATCAGCATGATAAGCAATAGGACTTCTGGCCTTCCTTTTCCAAACATGAAAACCGAGCGGTGGGCTGGCTCTGGGGTGTGTGACCCAGATTCAGTGCCTGACCCTTCAGCTAGTCATGAGATCATAAGCAAACGATCTGGTCTCTGCAGTCTGGTTCTCTCATCCAGAAATGATGAGACCCACTGAGTTCAGCAACCCAGAAGCAGGACTACTGGACTAGCCAGAGTTTTCAAATGACTCTCTGACCCTGGCTAAAGAATCATGCTTAGACAGGTTGTGGGAAGACAACTTTCCCCAGGACCAGCAGAGAGCCTTCTCCGGGGTTTGGAAGCTGACGCCGGGGAATGGGGTCTGGTTGGGTGGTGCATACCAGACAGATGCAGCTCAGGCAGGGGTCAAGCACTGATGGGAAGGTCTCATTGTTGTAGAAGATTCTGCCTGTGTAGGTGCAGCCTGCCAAACAGAGCACGTAGTGAGCAGCAGCCAGAAGGGTGGCTAGTAGTGGCCAGGTGCCTGGCTGGGGCAAAGGTTGGAAGTTTATCTGGATAGCAAGGGGCAGGCCCAGCAACTCCCCAGAGGCTAGGCAAGCAATAAGCATCCTTGGAATGGGTGCTGACTGCTCTTTATGGCTGGATTAAGTAAGGAGGACATTACAGAGTCTTGCTTCAGTGTCTTCATGACGGACATGGGGTGTCATTGCAGAACTTGGGGTGGGACAGGCAGATGACTCATGAGGCTCAAAGTTTCTGTCCTTCCCCAGAGTCAACTGACAAAAATCCCACCTGTCCAGACCAGCACCCCCATATCCCCCATGCCTGATGTCACCAAAGGCTCCAATGAATGGGGCCACTTTGATGAAATTATTCACATACTGGTTGGTAAGTACAAAGGCACATGGCGACACAAGCCTGTGAATTCCAATATTCAGGAGCTGAGGCAGAAGCATGGACTTCCAGAACAGCCTGGGCTAAAAAGCAAATTCTAGGTCAAATTAGATTACATAGTGAGACCTGACTCAAAAGGAAAAAAAGTATCATATATACATATGTATGTGTGTGTGATTATATATACTTATATGCAATATATAATTATGCATATTACAATATAATATATAAATGCAAATACATATATTCAACATATTATAAGTAAATATATATAATTGCATATATATAATAAAAGCAGATGAGATGGTAGGAAAATATTTTAATTTTTATTCCATCTATTTTGTTGTTGTTTGTCTGTACTTGGAGTACAGGGATGGAGCCCAGAGTATCATGTATTCTAAGCAAGCACTCTCCCACTGAACTACACCCTTCAACATAATATGGCTTATTTTATTTCATCTTATCTTATTTTTTGAGATTGAGTCTTGCAATCTGGCCCAGGCTTGATCCTCTTGCCTCTGACTCCCAAGTACTGGGATTACAAGCATGTGTCAACAGACCCAGCCCTTAGGGAGAGATTTTTTTTTTAAAGAACAAAACACCCGTAACACATATCTATCAAAAGGTGGGCACATCACAAACAGAGACTAGAAAGATATAACCACTGGCTGACAGTGGAAAATGGGCCTTTTCAAATTTATTCTTGCTTTATTCTTTTCTATGACAAATTTAATTTTGAAATAAAAAAAAAGGTCAAAATTACAGAGGAAAAAAAAAAAAAAGAAAAAAGCTAGCCTTATTCGTGTTTCCTCTCACTGGCCCAGTTTTCCAGGTCTGGTTCCTACGTCCCCTCAGGAGGACTGTAAGCTCTGGATTTGTGGATGTGGGTACAGCATTGAGGCCTTGCCTCAGGCAAGCCACTTTCCTTCTCTGGGCTGTGGGTGCTGTGCAGGTTGCTGGGAGCGTGAGGGAGACAAGGTTCTGGTGGTGCTCAGTGAGGAGGGCCTGAGGCAAGGCAGGTGGGACTCCAGGAACCCTGAGAATTGCTGCAGAGGGAGAGGTAGGGCCTAGCCAGGGTTACCTGCTGAACAATCAGGACAGCACTGTCCAGGGATCCGGATGGGGTCAGGGCAAGAGTCCACACAGTCTGTCCTCTTGCAGCTCACAGAACCATTTGCCTAAAGGAAGAAGAGACTTCACCAAGACTTGAGACAGCAGTGCTGCTTCCCCACACCAACAGAAAGGCAATGCCCCCCACGGTCTGTGGCTTGCCCTCAAGGATGCCAGGATGAGGCTGGGAAAAGTGGATTCTCCCCCTCCCCTCCTCCCCCATGTCAATGAAGACCAGCTGCTTAGCACAGGTGATAGAAACTTCAGGAAGGATCTGCCTGTCTCAAGACAGGGAAGTCAGAGCTGGGATTTTGTCCTTTCTGCTTCCTGTCCTACCCTTCAGCAGCAGCTGAGGCCATACCATCACCCCCTTCACATTCTTCTCAGCATTTCCCTGGAACCCTGGCTCACCCCAAACCTATAGAGAACAATAAAATCCTATTTTTATAGAAAACTATTCCACCGGAAATGCCTATTTCAGAAGACCAAAATGCCATACGAAAATTCTTCCTTTTCTCTCTTCCTCCCCTCTCCTCTTAAGAATTTGAACATTTATGGTCTCCTTCTTATTTTACTCTCTTGTAAATTGAGTGCCAGGATCAGTCACAAAGGAGAGCCTCAGCAGAAAGGGGCTTTTACTCTCCCTTCTTTCTGCAGCAAACATGTTCAAGCAGGCTTCTCATGAAGCACCCTAAACAGTCATTTTGAGATTAAAATGTGGGGGCCTGGAGATCCTGCATGTATGGCAGGGGCTCCCTAATGATACCCCACCCCCTACCCCGCTTTATTTGGAGAAATAAAGCTCTCAGGAACCCAAAGCACTCAAGAGTGGAAAGGGAAGCAGTGTGCAGTTTCTTAATAAACAGCCATGCTTGACTTGCAAACGCACACTCCTACTTAGCTATGACAAGGTGCAGGTCAAGTTGAAACATCATACGACAAAAAAATGGCACCTCAGCTTCCTGAGCTAGCCACACCCCAGGCTGTCCTCTCTGAGCCTCCTGAGGCCCCTGCATGGTAGCAGCTCCCTGCCCAAGCAGGGTCTCCGCAGCATCTAAGGAAGCCACCAAGCTCTACTGCCCTCAGTTGTCCACTGAAAGCAGACCAAGTGCCCAGGAGGGAGACTGAGGCCAGGCTAGCAGTGGCCCCGCCTCTGGAAGTGCCCAGGAGGGAGACTGAGGCCAGGCTAGCAGTGGCCCCGCCTCTGCAAGTGCCCAGGAGGGAGAGTGAGGCCAGGCCAGCAGTGGCCCTGCCTCTGGAGAAGCAGGGGTCTCCTGTTGGAGAGGCAGATGGGACAGCCAGGTAAAGCAGCTGAAGGCGAGCAGGTTGTCATTCACCTGGCAGATGCATAACTCACAGGGGTCACCAGGCGACCAGATCTGTCCAATCGGAAACTCAACCCCGTTGTCATCTAGGGAGCAGCCTGGCAGGAGAGGTAGGAAAAGGAAAAACACTTGGCAGAGAGCCGGGATGCAGCTCGGTGGTAAGGCATACTTAACGGACCCACAACACCGCAAAAAGTAACTAACAAAAAAAAAAAACACAGTAGAAGCTGGAAGGTGGTGGCACATGCCTTTAATCCCAGCACTCAGAAGGCAGAGGCAGGCGGATATCTGTGAGTTCGAGGCCAGCCTGATCTAAAAAGCTAGTTCCAGGACAGCCAGAACTGTTTCACAGATAAACCCTATCTTGAAAAAAAAAATTTTTTTTAAATCCACAGTAGACAGGAGTGCTCCCCAGAACTACAGTACCACCCTCCTAAAGATGAAACCCCACGCTCACAGATACACACACCACACAAACCACACATACAAATGTTTGCTTAATATGCAGCAAACTTTTACATAAACATTGTAACATGAATAGGGACCTGCTTGTTTTGGGGATTTTCATCCCGCCCTTTACCCCACAACTGTTTAGCCCCAAAGAAAATCACATATAGGTCTCCATAAATTATAAGCTGATTTGCCCATTAGCTCTAGCCTCTCACTGGCTAACTCTCACATCTTGATTAACCCACTTTCCTGATCTATGTTAGCCATGTGGCTCAGTACCTTTTTCAGTGGGCAGATCACATCCTGCTGCTTCAGTGGTCTGGGCAGGAGTGGGAGGAATCAATTTCCTCCTTCCCAGAATTCTCCTGTTCTCATTGCATCATTTCTACTTCCTGTCTGGTTTTCCTGCCTATACTTCCTGCCTGGCCAATCAGCGTTTATTTAAAACATGACAGAATACAGACAATTCTCCTGCACCACTTACCCCTCTTTAAAAAAAACAAAACAAAACAAAAAAAAAGGAAAATAACCATAGTCCATTTTTTGGGAATGTGAGCGTAGTATTTCAGGCTACTTCCAGCTGGTTGGGGGTGCTGATAATCTTATGGTGACCTTAAGAAAATTTAGAGTTATGATCAAGTCCTGACTGAAGTATCCTGTGAGTCTTGATCATCTCAGGCAGCAGTCTTGAACCTGTTCTGGATGAAGAACTCAGACATCTGGGCCATCTATTGCTGCCAGAGACTTCTCAGGTGGTGTTCTTTGATCAAACTAGATTTTTTTTTAACTCTGAATAAATCCACAGCCTCTCATTTTCTGTGGAAACAAAAGCAAAATCTCTTCTCCAAAGTAACATACCTTTTGACTTCAATTTTGAAGCCAAGGTATTTTCAAAATACCTATCTTGGATTTATAAGCAAATATCTTTTAGCAGCTGTTGCTCCTTCCTCAGCATTCAAACAATTTAAAGAGAGCATAATAACATACAGTATCAAGATTCTCTGTGTATTTTCCATCTTTACGTGGCTTTATCTTAACCTCTATTTCTTTTATTTTTACTTTTAACTTTTGGCTTTTTGAGACAGGTTCTCTGTATATCTTTGTCCTGGAATTCCCTCTGTAAACCAGGCTATCCTTGAACTCACAGAGATCCGTCTGTCTCTGTCTCCCCAGTGCTGGGATTAAAAGGTATGTACCACCACACCCAACTACTCTCTTTCTTTCTTTTTTATTTTAAGGCTTTAAACCTTTTTTTTTCAAGCCTGCATATATTTTTAACACATTGTAAACCATTTAGAGGGTTTTTTTTTCCTCTTTGAATCTCTCTTTACTGTATCTCTCTCTTTCTGACCACATGAGCCTTTAATTCAGTAAGCAATCATGGCTGAGGTACTGGACGGAGCCATGTTTATTGTCACAACTCTATGGTGTTTAAAGGTCCTTGCCAGGAAGCAAGCTGCAACAGTGTGTCCATAAACAACATTCAAAAGCTCCTATGGCTTTTCAAGATCCTTGCCAGGAAGCAAGCTGCAACAGTGTGTCCATAGCTCCATAGTCAGAACCACCTGCTTGAAAGAGTCAGATTTTTACCTGGCAGGATGGCCCAGAGAGCCTACACTTTAAAACAGTGCAGCTTTTTTTTCTTGCTATGGCTGAAAACCAAAATGCTTTACTTTAGTCTTTTAAGCTTTTTAGGCTTTCTGTGGATGCAATTATCCATGTGGGCGCCATTCTGTAACATGAGCCAGCCTGCTTGTTGGGGTTTTTGTCCTGCCCACTACCCCAAAACTGTTTATTCCCAAAGAAAATCGCACATAGGTCTCCATAAATTATAAGCTGATTTGCCCATTAGCTCTAGCCTCTCACTGGCTAACTCTCACATCTTGATTAACCCACTTTCCTGATCTATGTTAGCCATGTGGCTCAGTACCTTTTTCAGTGGGGCAGATCACATCCTGCTGCTTCAGTGGTCTGGGCAGGAGTGGGAGGAATCAATTTCCTCCTTCCCAGAATTCTCCTGTTCTCATTGCATCATTTCTACTTCCTGTCTGGTTTTCCCGCCTATACTTCCTGCCTGGCCAATCAGCGTTTATTTAAAACATGATTGACAGAATACAGACAATTCTCCTGTACCAAAACATAACAGACAAACACATTCCCAAAAAGGTGGGCTATGCTCAGCCACATACTGAGGGACACACAACTTATACTGACAAAACACAACCCACAGTCACACACAAAACACAAATGTATATTTGCATATATACAAATGCATAAACACATACACCACACATACTGAAACTTTCACAAACAGACACGCTCACAGACAACGGGGTCACACACACACAAACACAGACATTCACTGGCACAAAAACATACAGCAAATTGCACACACATCACAGGGAACTAGCAGAACACACACAGATATGCGTTTACAGGTAAGTCATATAGAACTCAGACACATTCGTACACTGATGCCATCCAAACACCAGCACTTAGAGGCATAGCCAACTAAACATACATGCAGGTACATTCATACAAAGCATGCTTCCAAGGATACACACAGACACACTTGTTAGCATACCCACACACACAAACTTACACACTTACATGGTCACACACAACGCTTTATAAAACACACCTGCTCGTTCCACTAACACACACACACACACCATCAGTCCAAGTGAGGGAAGCCCAGCCTCCCTCCTGTGCACTTGAGCCCTGTGTTGGGGGCTGCCCAGCATCACCTCACCTGTGGTGGGTGTGGGCTCCCGGCAGGTAAAACAGCACTGTCCAGGGCCTAGCCACCACTGCTCTCGAGGGCACTCCAGTTCTGGGCATGGTGTGAAGGAGCACTGTACCTCCCCATTCTGGAATAGAAACAAAAGCATGCATCAGTGATGGTGGCTCCCATCCTGGGCCACTTAGTGCCGAAGAGAAGGCTGGTGAGCAGTCACCCTCCAGACAGTGACAAAGAAATGTCCAGGGAGACAAAAGCGGAGAGGGCAAGTCCATGGGGGGAACTGAAAGAAGGTCCTGTGGTGGTCCCTCTGCTCCAGCTGGATCTCTACTATCTCTGTCCTTCCTCTTAACCCTCATTCCATAGAGACTCCCTCCTGCCACCCTCCACTCCAACCCTTAGCACTCAGCCCAGTCCGGTTTCTGCTGCCGGGGCACCTTTCCCACCTGCCGGACACAGACATCCTCCTAAGACAGCAAGGGACCATGGCCTCCTCTGCACAGACATGTCTGACGCACAGGTGTGAGAGCCCAGTTTCCTCCTCTGGCACTCTCTGCAGCACCCTCCACAGTGCAGAGCTGCCCAGGGGATGAGTGGAAGAGGTCTTCCCAGAATCCTCTCTGCCCTCTGCTACCTCCCTGCCTCTTTCTCCTGAGGGCACTCACCAGCTGCTGCATAGAGACCACATCTCCCAGTCTGCTCCCAGCCGGAAGACACATTTCTGAAAAGCCCACCTGCTTCTGCTCTTCTCTGCTCCAACCGGAATGTACAGCACCCTCAGCACCTCACCTGACTGGTCCTAGTCACCCCTCCACAGGCCCCCACTGTCCCTCTCTCCTCACAAGAAGGTTTGAGGATCCCGTGCCAAGCCATGCCCACCTAGGCTCTAGGCTGTCAGTCAGAGGGGGCTGGAGCTCTTTTGGGCTGAGGGTGTGTCCCCAGATCGCAGTTAAGTACTCTACCAATACAGAACTGAAGAATACTGACTTTATAGAGATGGCTGTAAGGCACGGGGGATTCCTACAGGGACTGCTACCTCCGTCTCTCCCTTTTGATGCACTGCAGGTTATCGTCTCCATGGCAAAGCATCTTGGGTAAATTCCTATGCTGCCCACCCAACTTCCTTCCCATCTTCCACGGAGTCAACAGGTGCAGGAACCTCACACCCTACCTGGCAGACACAGGTGGTACAGTCGTCACCACCTCCACTGAACACAGCGCCGTCTGTATACCACTGGCCATGGAAATAGCACCTCCCTGAAGGAGACAAAGGCAGAAGGGCTCATGAGTGGACAGATGAGCAGGGAGGGCTGGGACAGCTGCCCCTTGCCAGCACACAGAGTGCTTCTCAGTCTCCAAATCCCAGACCCCAGAAGTTACTATCTACAAAAGATCATTACCCATGAGGCAGAGGGAGCCTAAACAGCTGCAGAGTAAGAAATTCAGAGGGGCGTGCCAGAAAATGGGCACAGAACTCCTGAAGATCCTGCCCAGGGTAACACCAGCCCAAGCCTAGCAAACAGCACATCCATCAGCACCGGCTGAAGCGCCAGTTCAAGCACCAGCTCCGCAACTCAGAGCTGACTTAGGGCCAAAACCACGACTCTCTTGAAGCTTCTGTGCAAGGGCTGACAGTCCCACCTCCTAGGTTCCACATGGACTGCACAAAAAGAACTGAAAACAAAAACAAAGCCAGTCATAGTGCCTTTGGTTCAGGCACTTGGGAGGTGGAGGCAGGCAGAGCTCTATGAGTTTAACGCCAGTCTGGTCTACATAGTTAGTTCCAGGACAGCCAAGGACACCCTGTCTCAAAAAAATAAAAACAAGGCAATAATAATAACAAAATGTCTTAAGTTAGGAAGAAAAGTATGCCTGGCCTGATGTCACAAGCCTGTGTCCCCACTACTCGGGCTGAGGCAAGAAGAGGGAAAGCTCAAGACCTGACTGGGTTATAGAGGGAGTCACAGGCCAGCTCAGGCAACTTATGAGATCCTCTCTCAAAATAAAAGATATAAAATGAGGTGGGGATGAGGCCCAGTGATAAAGTACTCGCCTGGCATGCACAGATCCTTGGTTACAATCTCTAATACTGTGAAAGAAAGAGACTTAACATTTTTAATTACACTTATTTGTTGGGGGAGGGGCATGATGTAGGCATGAGAGGTCAACTTGCAGAAATCCGTTCCCTGCTACCAGGAAGGTTCCAGGGATCAAACTCAGGTTATTAAGCACCTTTCCCAGCTAAACCATCCCACTGACCCAAGACGGTATTTTAAAAGTACGCCAGCTCTGAAATCAGGCCGATTTAAGTTGAAGTTCAGCTCCATCGCTAACTGCTGTGTGTCTCCAGACAGCGACTTGACCTCTCGGAATCTGCTTTTTCATTAAAAGGGAACAATGAGCAGGATCCCCTCACTGTGAGATCTCAAGGACTCAACAGACCGAGAGATGGCAGGTGACCCAAACAGCACGGGGTCCATGCTGGTGGGGAACATCCCCTCCCACTGATGAGGTCACTGTTAGACTTAACTTGGAAACAGAGAAGGAAGAAAGTAGATGAAGTGTGCAGGAGTTGGGAAGGGACCTGTTAGGACAGGCTGTCCTTCGAGGGAGGGCGTTAAAACAAGCTGTCCTTCAAGTGAGAGCTTTTTTGGGGACTTATGAATGTCACAGGCAAACAGGCAGCCCCCATGCAGTGGGGTCCAAAGACAAGAGAGACTAAGATTCTGCTAGACAAAGAGGTGTTCACTCTGATGAAAGGGGGATACCCCACCCTGCAAGACGACAGGATCGGTTAGTGCTATGGTGAGTGCTCAGAGTCAGGGGTCTGCCTGCTTCACCCGGCAGGGCTCTCCTCTGTGCTAGTTAGCAACTGTGTTATGGGGGATAAGTGCTCAGAGTCGGGGGTGGGGGTCTGCCTGCTTCACTCCACAGCACCCTTATCCGCATAGAGCCTACTTACCTTGGTTACCTAAAAGACCTGGGTTTTCTAAGTCATAGGAAACCTGTTCTTATGTCACAGTGGGTTAAAAGAGATTCCTCCACACCCAGGGGCAGATCAGTGCCACGAATGAGCTCCTAAGCCTCTTCTGCCTACACTCCAGATGTGTCCTAAAGGCAGGGACGGTGAAGCCCCGCCATGAGCATAGTCTGGCCAAGGTGCACTCAGGAGACAGTCACTAAAAATGAGTAATTGACTTATATCACCAACCCGCCCTTCTAAAGCAGGAGTAGGTCTTCTCTCTCCTGCCCCAACACACACTCAAAGGTACTTCTCCCCCACACCCTAAACAAAAACTCCAAGTATCACCTACCTGGGGCACAAGCACAGCAATCTGACTGTGGGGGAGTCTTACAGGGACCAGGGGGACACTCCAGGGAGATACAAGACACATTTCCAGCCTGAGGAGGCAAAAGAAGGTGGTGGGACAAGGGTGGGATCAGGTTTTCTGCCAACAGCAGGCAGATCTCTGTGAGTTTGAGGCCAACCTGGTACACATTGCAAGTTTCAGGCCATTCATGGCTGCCTGAGACTTTTCCCCCCACAAAGATAGATAGATAGATAGATAGATAGATAGATAGATAGATAGATATTTCAAGACAGAGAGACAGACATTTTAAATTAGGAGCTGGAGAGATGGCTCTGTGGTTAAAAAACACTTTCTACTCTTCGAAGGAACAGGAGTTGGTTCCCAGAACCCACATCAGACAGCTCACAATAGCCCTTAATCTCTAGCTCCAAGAGATCTGATACTTTTTTCTGGTCCCTGTGAGCACCTCTGCACCCATACAATAGTGATAGAGGCTGAGGAAATGGCTCAGTGGTTGAGAAGACTTCTCATTCCTGCAGAAGAACCAAGTTCAGTTCCCAGCACCCCCAGGGCATCTCACAACGATCTGTAACTCCAGTCCCAGGTGATCTGACACTCTCTTCCGGCCTCCGAGGGCACCAGGCACGCAAGTAGTGTGTAGACACACATGCAGCCAAAACACTCATACACAGAAAAATATATAAAAAATGTATTTTTGCCTACACGTATGTCTCTGCCAGGATGCCAGATCCTCTGTAACTAGAGTTACAGACAGTTGTGAACTGTCATGTGGGGGCTAGGAATTGAACCTGGATCCTCTGGAAGAACAGCTGGCGCTCTTAACCACTGAGCCATCTCTCCAGCCCATAAATAAATCTTTTTAAATAAATAATTAGAAATTCAAAATAATGAAGTTTTCTTTTTTTTTTTTTTTTTTTTTTTTTTTTTTTTTTTTTTTTGAGAGAGAGTATCTCACTATGTAGCCCAAACTGTCCTGTCCTGGAACTAAGCATGTAGACCATGCTAGCCTCAAATTCACAGAGATCTGCTTGCTTCTGCCTCTCAAGTACTGGGATTAAAGACACGCCACCACACCTGGCACAAAATTCATCTTTAAAAACAATTTTGAAGTTAAAAAAAAAGTCTCCAACATTAGGGTTATCTTAGACCTGAGTTCCACTGTCTATGTCTGTTGTAGAATATTACTTTAACTATGTAAAGTTGTGTTATATTTGTTTATGCTCCATCTGTTTAACTATGGAAAGACGTGCTACATTTGTTTATGCTACATCTGTTTAACTATGTAAAGATAAACTGCTGTGTTACCTTGCCTGTCTAAACAAGGCACATGGTTGGTCTAATAGAAAGCTGAATGGCCAATAGCTAGGCAGAAGAGGGATAGGCTGAGTGGGAGGAAAGAGACTAGGAGGAGGAATTTGGGCTGAGGGAGAAGGAGGAAAGGGAGAACAAGAGAGAGAGAGAGAGAAAGAGAGAGACGTGCAGGCCCAGCCAGGCAGCCACCAGCCAGCAAGACATGAGTAGGGCATACAGAGTGAAAGAAAGGTAAATAAGCCCCAAGGCAAACATAGATGAAAAGAAACAGGTTAATCTAAGTTATAAGAGCTAGCAAGAAACAAGCCTAAGCTAAGGCTGAGCAGTCATAACTAATATAAGTCCCTGTGTTATGATTTGGAGCTGGTTGGTGGCCCCAAAGAAAGCCTGCTACATATACTTCTACTAACAAGATTTCAGGCAATTGATATCACGTCTCCAGGAACTTCTAACATGGAAGGATTCAGTGCCTGTCTCACTACATAAAAATGGGAGAACACACCCAAGCTCCTTTTCTCTGCATGCTTGATATAGGTGGGTCTTCTATCTATCTGTTGCTTTCATTAGTTAATTAATAAAGAAACTGCCTTAGCCCTTTGATAGGACAGAAAATTAGGTAGGCGGAATAGACAGAAGAGAATGCTCTGGGAAGAAGGGAAGTGAGGCAGACGCTATAGCTATAGCTCTCCTCTCCAAGATGGACACAGGTTAAGATCCTTCCTGGTAAGCCACCACCTCGTGGTGCTACACAGATTATTAGAAATGGGTTAATCAAGATGTGAGTTAGCCAGTAAGAGGCTAGAGATAATGGGCCAGGCAGTGTTTAAAAGAATACAGTTTCCACTCCTTTCTACACATGCTTAGCACACAGGAAGAGCTAGATGAATGCTACTGATATTCTGTATGTCCCTGATCATACAGCACCCTGTGTACCATTGTGGCCAATCCAGGAGCTCTGTTTAAAGATGGACAGAGGGTGACAGCAAGGATTGACAGACAAAGCCTGCAACAGACCTCAGTTCAAACACTAGCTCCCAGCTTCCATCTCTGAATCTGTGGATCAGGGATAGCATCGCCCACTCCTCACTTGGTGGGAGTCTCTGGTTAGGGAACAGAGAAAGGGCACCAAGGCGGTGCCTGACATCAAAATCAGATGCATGCAGGCAGCAGTGGCACAGTAAATGCTTATGAGGAGTGAACTTGCCAGAAACAAAAATATTCTCAAGAAGGCCAGGGAGTTGCCGGGCGGTGGTGGTACATGCCTTTAATCCCAGTGCTTCGGAGGCAGAGATAAGCAGATCTCTGTGAGTTTGAGGCCAGCCTGGTCTACAAGGGAGCATAATGAGACTGTTCTCTCCCCATGTGCGTACCTTTGTTGTGATAGGAAATACTTTGCCTGGAGAAAATACTTCCCTGGTGAAGTTCCTGAGAGAGTCCCATTCCTCCTCTTCCCAAACAGATGGATCCTGTTCTGCCCTGGCTTGCTCATGCATGGCAGATGCCTCCCATGTCTGTCGGCCAGAGCTTGGATGTTTTTATGACCCTCTCAAGCTCAGTTTAAACCCAAAGCCCTGAAGCAAGCTCCCTTCAGATTCCGGTTTGTTCCCCTCCTTGACGACACCCAAAGGTTAAGAAAACACCCAGTGGGGAACCTCGGGTTGCTTACCAGACAGACACACACGGTGCAGTTCTCCTCAGGAGGTGAAAACACATCCCCTTCTTCTCGGACAGCACCACTATGAAAGCAGCCTTAGACAGACAAACGAGAGGTAGGGACATCAGCCTCCTCAAAGCGTAGGAAACCTGAGGTCTCTACTTTTCCAGGAGTAACACTTCTGGACCCTCCTCTTACCACCTCGGATGCCCCAGCAGGGCAGACATAGGCGCCTTAACCCGAGACACACGCAAGATCAGCTGCAGTGGCCCTGAGCATGCTCATTCAAGTGTGTCTTGAAAAAGCATCATTGTATTCCGTCACACAAGACAGGCTAGGCTCCAAATGGAGAATTTTAGCTCCCTTTACCCACATGGCCTTGCCCATGGCACCTCGCCTCTCTGCAACTCAGCTATTTTCACCAAAAAATGGAAATATCGCAGGTGGTGGTGGCTTACACCTTTAATCCCAGTGCTTGGGAGGCAGAGGCAGGCAGAGTTCAAGGCCAGCCTTGTCTACAGAGTTAGTTCCAGAACAGTCAGAGCTGCACGGAGAATTCCAGTTTTGAAAAACCAAAAAATTTAAAAAATGTAAATATCCCTGTGTACCCTGCTGGGTACTCCTGTGGATACCTGAAGGGATCCACAATCTTGGTTATAAAGAGAACTCAGCTCTTTCAGGGCCCAATACACGGGTGGATCATAGCAAAAAGAGAAATTATCTCCCTTTGTCTTAGCAACCAATGCAGGCACTTCCTCCTTGCCAAACCCTAGGGGGGAAAATTGTTTTTATGACCTATGTCATACATGCTAAGCAAGCACTAAGCCCCAGCCCCAGTCTGCAATGGAAGGAAGGAAATGACTGTCCTCCAGCAATCCAAGGGCAGGTGGAGCAGGGGAAGCAGACAACAGGATGGAGGTAGACACTCAAGGAGGGAAGGAACAAACAAACAAAGGAGAGGAGGGAGTATTCAGGCAAGCAGGGTGGCCCGCTGAATGGTTCCCCTTGAAGAGTACTTCGGCATAGACACGTGGTTCTCAAAGAGAGGGTCCAGATTGGCAGTTTGTCAACTGTTCTCAGACCCTACCCCTGAACGGCCAATCAGACTCGGCCTCCCAGGTGACTCCAAGAACAGATTGTGGAGGAAGTTGAAAAATAAAAGCCTTTGGGCTTCAAGAGGCAACGGTGAGAAGAAGCAGGTTGATCCCTCCCCGTCAGCTCTTACCAGTGCAAGAAGGGCAGCAGCTGCCATTCCTGGGGGGAATCGGATGGGAACAGGCAGTGTTACACCTCAGGTTTTCACAGGTCACCTCTCCATCCTGGATACACAAGCGAGAGTTGCAGTCAAGGGCAGACCCCAGACACTCCACCAGGGCGGCCTGGGGACATCACACCTACCTGGCACAAGCACTGCGAGCACTCAGGCTCGTTCCAGCGGCTCCCTGATTCATATGTGGCTCCCTGGTACCAGCAGGAAGAGAGACCTGTTCCAAGCTTCGCACCTTCCGGGACCCTGGGTGAGGAAGGGGTCCCTACTGCCTCCCCCTGGAGGAGTGAGGGGGGTCGGAGGGTCCCCAGGAGGGAGGAACTTGGCCCTGGGGTGGATAGCAACTGTGTGGGAAAGAATGTGGGTAGGCCCAGGGTGGTAGATGACTGATGAGTTGTTCTGACGCCAGTGGGGTATCCCGGTGCCCCTGGAGGAGGGCTGTGTCCCGGGGACAAGGCAGGCCGGCCTGCCTCGGGAAGGAGCAGGGACATCTTAGCAGGTTGCTGCCGGGGCTGCAGGATGGCAGATGGGGCCTGAACGGCCTTCGGGAAAGCTGAAATGGAAGCACGGGGTCTCCTGAGGGAGGCAGCAGGGGCAGGAAGTGGGGTTTTAGGGTCCTAGATTGGTCCACCAGTTTCCTCCTCAACATAACGTAATTGGCCGTGAACTGCTGAGGCCATGGTGACAGCTACAGCTCCAAGCTTCACCTGCCCTCCTTTTTCTTTTTCTTTTTTTTCTTTTCTTTGTCTTCCTTCCCCCCCCCCCCCTCCCGAGACAGGGTTTCTCTATAGCTTTGGAGCCTGTCCTGGAACTACCTCTTGTAAACCAGGCTGGTCACAAACTCAGAGATCCGCCTGCCTCTGCCTCCCAAGTGCTGGGATTAAAGGTTTGCGCCACCACCACCCGGCCCAGCCCTCCCTTTCCTAACAGCTACAAAGGGACACACAGGTTTTCCTGAGAGTAGGAGACCTTCAGGGTCCAGCCTGGGAGCAACTCTCCCCAGCTGCTATGGGCTGGGGTCTGAGTGTGTGTCCTGCTTCCCACCTAGGTGTGGCTTCCCTGCATACTGTTGAGGTTCTCTCCAGCTTCACAGCTCAGCTGTGGGAGGAGACTCCTGTCCCCCATATGTATTTGGAGACTGAACGGGCATTTTCCCTACAGATGAACATCCCCTTGACAAGGGACGGAGAATCCCTGAGGTCTGTGTCACACCTTCCTTCATTGTTATTGGTTGGCTTCTGTTTTGTTTTTCCTTTTTACCATTTGTGTTCAATGGCTGGGAACAGGGAAAAGGAGAAAGGACTGGATAAAGATGTCTCAGGACTGGAGAGACTTCTCAGGGGTTCAGAGCACCGCCTTCTCTGGCAGAGCATCAGGTTCACTTCCTGGCAGCTACGTGATGGCTCACAACAATCCATAACTCCAATCCCAGGGGATCAGACACCTTCTCTGGCCCTGCTGAGGCATGTGGTACACACACATACCAACAGGCAAAACACTCATAATACACATAAAATAAAACAAACAACTTTTCTATTAAAGAAAAAATACCAGGATAGAGAGATGGCTCACTGGTTAAGGGCACTAGCTGCTCTTGCGGGGAACCAGATTCAGTTCCCAGCTCCTACATGGTAGCTCCAGTTCTAGGGAATCTGATACCCTCTTCTGGCCTTCACAGGCACCAGGCACACAAAAATAAGCAGGTAAAACATTCACATGCATAAAAAAAATTGTAAATAATTTTTAAAAATACAAAGTGGAAAGGGAGAGTGAGAAAGAAAGTGGGGATGTTTGAAGAGATAAAAAAGAACGGAAAGGGGGGAGGATTAAAAAAGGGTGTTGGCACAGAGGTGGGGCCTGTGGTTAGGGGTGAGGCCTGGTACCACAGGGCAGAGCCAAGATCTGTAGTGTGGCCTGGAGGCAGAAGAACAGTGCCAAGATCTAGGAGGGTGGGTCTTGTGCTGCCCTAAGGTCTAGAGGTCAGGGCTGGGGCCTGGTTCTCACCTTCACAGGACACACGGTCAGCTCGAAGCCTGAAGCCAGGTCTGCAGGTGCACAGGAAGCTGCCCACAGTGTTATGGCAGGAGTGGTGGCAGACTCGCCTCTCCTGAGGTCGTCGACACTCGTTTACATCTGTGGAAGAGCCCATTGCCTTGCCTCGGCCATGGACCCCTTTCTCCTCCCATCCCAGAACTCAAAAGACTGGCAGGATTCACCTGCAGTTCTTACAGAGTCCACCCCTGCTCCAGGGCACAAGATGTGACTCAGGACACTAGGAATGGGGCTGGTGTCTATCAGCAGTGGCCTTGGAAGCTTCCTGTATCCAGTGAGTGACCGTGCATCTCAGCCCCCAAACAATTAAGTGCTTAACCCTGGTGCAAATCTCATTCCCCAGATTTCTTCTTTTGTAGACAGTGTCTTAAAACTGAAAGCAGGCTCAAGACAAACCAGGAGTCTCCTTCTAAACCAAAGGAGCCAAAGCATAAAGTACTTTGTTTACCCCCAGGGAGCAAAGGCAGCCAAGAAAACCGGTGAACAGAGGTGAGTCCTTGATGTGTATGTGAGAGCATCGAGGAGAACATAGCAGGATGAAAGGGACATGGCCAGGGAAGACCCAGCTTGGGGTGTTTCACACAGAGCGACACCAAGCATGGAATGGGAGTACTCTGAGCAGAAGGTCCAAAAGTTGATCTTCCCAGGTTCCAGACTGACCTGTCCATCTTCTTGATTGGCAACCTAAGTGTACCACCCACAGGCCACAGAGCTCACCTATACAGGAGTGCCGGTTGCCATGGAGGTGGAAGCCGGCGCGGCAGGAGCACTTATAGCTGCCAATGCTGTTCTTACATCTCTGCTGGCAGGGCGTGCCCAGGCACTCATCGGTGTCTGTGAGGGGAGAAGACAAAGCTGGTACCCATCTCTCCACTGCACTTAGGCTCCTCCCATCCCCCCTCTCCCACCCAACTCAGGGTCATGGGGGACTCCCCTACTAGCGAATGGTCTCCACCCTCACCCTCTCACCCCAGCCCAGGCCACTTTATCTCTAGGCTGGAGAACAGACACAGCCTCCTCCCGAGCCATCTTCCCACAGTCTCCAGGAGGTCCTCATCCAAGGCCATCTGCAATGGGCCACTCCCTGCTCCAAACCTCTCAGAGACCCACCTACAACAAGCAGCACTCACGAGACCATTATACACAGCTATGGGGACCAGTGAAAGAGCTCAGCAGATAACGGTGCCTCCCTCCAAGCTTGATGAGTTAGATCCCTCATGAAGCAAGAACTCCCAAAAGTTGTTCTCTGACCCCCACATGCACACTTAAATGTAAGAAAAATAAATAAACAAACATAGCTATGGACGGACAGTCCAGCCCTCACCTTCGCTCTTGCTTATTTCCCCGCATCTTCTAAACACGTCCTATTTTTATGGCCCTCCCTTGGACTCTGTCTACCCTGAATGTCTTTCCCTCCTATCTGCAGAGAAAAGTCTTCTGTGGACTTAAAACCTTCCTCCACAGAGCCCCCCACATAGAAATTCACCCAGGTTGTTGTTAGAAGCTGCAACAAACAAACACAACCCCTAGAAATAACCTCCATGTTGGTCCTATGACACACTTGCATCACAGAGAGCCAAGCAGCAGTCAAAAACACCACCAAAAAGAGATCTATCTGGTATGTTTGCCTGATGTAGGAAGAGCCTTAAGACCAATCAACTGCTCAGGGAAAAGAAATTGGAAAGGCAACTGGGATTAGACCTCAGCTCCAATGTGATTGTGGGTAAATTAATTCATTGTGTTAAGCCTCGGGGTTCTTATCAGTAACATGGAGATAAACAGTATCATAATTGTAAGGATGGAATGAGAACACACATAGAAATTGCTTAGCCTGGTACCCAGCATGTTGAGAGTTTGGCCACTAATAAGCCTGTGTATATGCATAAGTAAGAACATGTCACTCAGAGAGGCAGGCAGGCAAGGCGTCTGCAAGTGCTCTGGAGGAAGGACTTTGGGATTATTAGGGTCAGATAACATCACAAGGGTGGGTTAACGATGGATTAATGCCCTTAGAAGAGTCACCAGAGCACCCTGTGTCCCTCCCTCTCGCCATCGCCATTGTGTGAGGACACACAAGAGCATCCTCTTCAAGCCAGAGAAATCCACAACAAAGCTAGCCAGTCCCTTGACCTTGCGGCTCTCCAGGGACTGAGAACAGTTCCCTGGACTACACAGCACAGTGTTGGGGCAGCTCAAGCAGATCAGGGAAGCAGGGCTCTCTAGGGTGGGCAGAGGAGGGCACTGGGAGAGAGGACCTGAGGCTTGCACCATGGTGCTCAAGATTCTTGGGTTTCATGAAATTTCACACGCAGAGAAAGTAACAGCACAGACTCAAGGGACTTATTTTTGTCACCTCTGCCTTGTTGTGTGAGACTGTTATGAGAATCATCCTCAAATACTTGTGCAAATCAAAGCCTCTTGGAAAGGATGTCTATTGTAAAAGATCTCACCCTGCCAGGTATGGTGGAGTATGCCTATAACCCCAATACTAGGGAGGCTGGACCACCAATAACACCCTGTCTGCAAAACAAAAGGAAGACATCTTCTCGCTGGACCTCCACAACCCAGCATGGAAGACATCTTCTCCCTGGACCTCCACAGCCCTAATACACCTTGTCTCAATCTTTTTCTTTCCCAAACCACCACACTGGAGAGTGTGTGCATCCTACAGCACAGATATCCTCAGAGCCTGGCCCAGCACCAAGGCTGGAGGAAGCTATAATACACTAAGTGACGGAGACCATCACAGGCCCCTCCCACTCACAACCTCCCTCCCTCCCTTCTCCATCGCTGTACCTCCTGCCCTGGGTGCATCTGCCCCTTGTTCTCCCTGAAACCTCTCCTTATCCCCATCCTTCCCTATACAGAAGCAGAAGATTTTACAGTATCTTGGTTCAGAGCAAGTCCACCATGAATGCTGGGCATGGGGGCGCATGCCTATAATCCCAGGACTTGGGAGTCAGAGGCACGCAGATCTCTGTGAGTTCAAGGCCAGGATGGCTTACAAAGTGAGTTCCAGGACAGTCAGGGTGTAGGGAGACTCTTTCTCAAAGAAACAAAAGAGTCTACCATACTAGACTCAAATCCTAAGTCCATCTCTTACAAACAGAATGGATGTGGGTGAAACTTGGTTCTTCAATGGGAATGACGCAGCGTCCTTCTCAGAGGACCGTGGCACGGAGAATGAATCTTCTAGGACTTGGCGGAGTCTAGAAATCACTCCCAATCCCTCGGCTCACTCACCTTGGCAGCTATGACGGTCAGCAGACAACTGCATGCCTGGCCCACATTCACACACGAAGCCGCCTTCCGTGTTCACACAGCGGCCCTCACAAGATGAGCTTAAACACTCGTCAATGTCTGAGGAAAGAAAGCCCTTAGAACAGCCTGTTCCAGCTGTGCCACGACTCCAGAAAAAGTGACCCCACGTTTGAGAGGTCACGTGTAGAAGATACAGCATCAAACAGGAAAGTGCCATGACCATGAGGGGAGCCCCAGAAAGAGGAGATAAAGACAGAGGGACCGGCCCCTGCTCCCAACCCATGCGACAGGTAAGATGGTGGGAAAGCATGCCTGAGGCAGAATCATTTTGATCGTCTGTATGTGGCAGCCTTCAGGTCCCCAAAATGACAGGGCCCTGTGAGCAGTGTCATTCCCTAGATGTTCACTGAACCCTGAGGTGTGAGCAGGAGACTCCAAGAGGGGTTACTGACTGCCTCGGACACTGTGAGCACGTTCCAAGGCCCAGAGGGATAGCATATGCCCTGCTCAGGAATAACCTGCCATAGCAGAGGGTGGTGTTAGGAGAATCAGGAGCGGGGAAGGATTTGAGAGGTTTGGGGATAGCTGCTGGGCTCTCTGGAATTGCCTAACCTCCCCACCCCACCACTGTCCTCCACATGCATGTCATCACACACATACATAAATAAATGGAAAAAATAAAAATAAATAAAAAACATAAATAAAGAAATAGAGGAGGGGAGGAAATGCCATAATGAACCCATTGCTTTGAATACTAAGCTAAACTTCAGTTAAAATAAAAAACTCCGGTTGTAGAATATTATTTTAATATATGTGTTACTTTTGATTATGTTGCATTAGTTTAACTCTATGAAGCTGTGCTACTGTGCCTGTCTAAAACACCTGATGGGCTAATAAAGAACTGAGTGGCCAATAGCGAGGCAGGAGAGAGGAATAGGCAGGGCTGGCAGGCAGAGAGGATAAATATAAAGAGAAATCTGGGAGGAAAAAGAATCTGGGAATGAGAGAGGAAAGAGGAGGACTTCAGGGACCAGCCACTCCGCTACACAGCCAGACACGGAGTAAGAAGGAAAGAAAAGCTATACAGGAATAGAGAAAGATAAAAGCTCCAAGACCAAAGACAGACTGGATAATTTAAGTTAAGAAAAGCTGGCAAGAAACAAGCTAAGCTAAGGTCAGGCATTCATTAATAAGAATAAACCTCCAGCTGGGCGGTGGTGGTGTTCGCCTTTAATCCCCAGCACTTGAGAGACAGAGGCAGGTGGATCTCTGTGAGTTCAAGGCCAGCCTGGTCTACAGAGTGAGTTCCAGGACAGCCAGGACTGTTTCACAGAGAAACTCTGTCTCGGGAAAAAAAAAAAAAAAGGAAGAAAGAAAAAAGTAAGCCTCTGTGTGTGGTTTATTAGGGGGTTTGGTGGTGGGCTCCCCAAAAACCTCTAGGTTTAGTGAGAGACCCTGACTCAAAATATATGGCAGAGGGTAATGGAGGAAGATACCAAATATTAATTCTGGGCTCCACATGCCTGTGGACACACATACATGCACATGTACATACACCACATACAAAAACAAACAAGAAACAAAACACCTTCAATCAGGCTTTTGCCTCTAAAGAGATGGACCAAAAAATTGGTCATAGTAACCATCTCTGGTAAAGGGCACACACTCTGCCTACAGTGATTTAAAATCAAGAAAACAAATAACAGGAGTGGGAAAGAGGCCTCGGCTGTTGGGAACACTTGTTCTTGCAGAGGAGCCAGGCTCAGTTCCCAGCAACCACAGGGCAGAGCACAACCGGCTGGGACTCCAGTTCCAAGGGATCTGGTGCCCTCTTCTGGCCGCCTCAGGACTCCACACACGTGCTACATATACATGCAGACAAAACACCCTTACCCATAAAATAATAAAAGAAAAAAAGTAATACTTTGACAGAATAACTACTGAGTTTTAGTTTCCTCAGTTTTCTGTGTCAGCTGACTCCAGTCCTGGCTCCATGGTCCTCTGAGAGCCCAGCATCCTGGACTTCCTTAGTCGCTGCCCCTATTACATTGGCGCTGTCCTTATCCTTGTCCTCCTGCTCCATATATGGAAGCTCCCAGCTAGCAGCCACTGTCTGGTCACCTGTAACCTCAATCCCAGCCCATAAATTCCTGTGAAATAACAGGAGAGCAGTACCCTGGGGGTGCATGTTTTCCTGCCCCTCTCTTCCAGGTGCCGGGCTCCAGCTGCTGCAGGGAGGAGCTACCATTCCACCCTCCCGTCCCATTCCAGGCCTCTCACCTGCACACCTGATACCAACAGCTGTCTCAGTCATCAAGAAACCCACAGGGCACACTCGGGCTACCTCCTGACAGCCACCATGGTTACAGGTGAGATCACAGCCATACTCCCCACAGGATCCATGGGCTTCTAAAACAAACAGCACAGAAGTGAGCCCGTGTCACCACAGCAGCAGAGCAGGTGGCAGTGTGGCCTCTCAGGTGTCCTGAATTCTGCTGCAGAGTAGGTGTTCCGGAGGCAAAGAGACTTCCCATCCTCGTCTACCACTTACTGGCCATGGATCTTGAGTCAAATAGGAGGAACCCTCTGGGGCATGTCTCTGAAGGAGTTTCTAGACTGGGCTGATGGGTAAGACCCACTCTTAACTGTGGAAGGCAGCATTCTGTAGGTTAGGAGCCGAACTGAACACAAATGAAATGGGGCTGAGCAACAGCACCCAACTCTTCCTGAGTCCTGACTGAGTGCAACGTGAACAGTTGCCTTGCTCTTGCAGCGCCATGCCTTCTCTGCTCTGATAGGCTGTATCCTTGCGGCCAGGCCTTCTCTGCTCTGATAGGCTGTATCCTTGAACTTTAAGCCCGATTAACTTTTCCTCCTTTAAATTGCTTTTACTGACTATTTTGTCACAACCACAACAAATATCACTACCACATCATGCGACCCAGGAAAAGCCAAACCTTCTTTGTCTCAGCCTCAATGGCCAGAGAGGGATGTAAGTGCCCACTGACCAGAGTGTCTTGCAGATGTCAAGCTAGAACCCATCTCAAGTGCTCAGTGTTAACACATAATCTTCATATTACTCTGGTGCGCCCCCCCCCCATCAACCACTGTCCATCCCAGTTACCTGGGCAAGTGGCCCCTTGCTCTCCATCCTGGCAGGAACAGACATTGGGGGCGATGCAGATGCCACTCCCACAGCCAAAGGAGCAGAGGGCTGAGAGGAAAGATGCCAGTAAGGGACTGGGCACTGGCAACGCACAGCACCGGCATGTGCTGAGAAGGCTTGGGGTCACAGGGATGAGTACTTACGCAGAGTACAATGCCCGCCACCCATGGAAGGGGCCCAGCCAGGGCAGCAGCCACTCCCGAAGCCCGAGAGGCAGACATGGGGGCCGAGACGACGCCTGCAAGAAAAGAGCACTCTCTACAATCTGTATGACGAGAGTGGCAGAAGCTCCCAGCTTATCCACTGGTCTGTAAGTTAGCTAACAGAGCTCTCCAGAACCCCAGGGAAAAACAGTGGGAAACTTACAAATGACCTACAATCCCTCCTGGGGGCAGGACCTGACAACAGTGTAAGCTCTTATCGGTTCACTTCAACATCTAAAGTACCCAATAACCGCTCAAAAAATGGGAGGCCAGAAAAGGAAGAAAGCAGAAGGTCTGGGTGGCATCCCCTAGGGCTGCCAACAAGGTACCCAAGGCTGGGCCCAGAAGGGTCTGCCCAAGCAAGAACACCCTCTGGAGCTTCAGGTGACCTGGAGCCAGTGTCAAAAAATGGCATGCAGTAAAGCTGTAAATATGCTACTGTCCTCACTTTCAAAGGATAGACAGGATCCAGTGATGGGAACTGAGCATAACAGAGTCCCCAGGAGGGCTGTGTAGCCTTGTGAAGAGGGCCAGGAGAGCGTCCCCAGAAGGACAGCTTCCCTACTGCAAGCAAAAGAAGACCAGAGAAGTGTCATGAAAAGGAGGAAGTGTGTGGGAGGGGTATTCCAAGCAGAGACTACAACTCCAGCCATGGGCTGGAGCAAGGATCATGAATCCAATCAAGGCAATAGGTGTCAGATGACTTTTTCAACATAGTCAGAGCTGATGGGAATTTCATCCCACCAGCCAGAGCACCCTTTCCGTGCCTGTCCCTGTATCAGACCCAAAAGATATAGGGCAAGACAGGTTTTCCTGGCTCTTGGGGTTAGTAATCTGTGTCAAATGTGGGAACCTTAACAATACAGAAAAGTTTGCTGGGGATTGCCCCTGGGGCCAAGTCCTTTTCCCTCTCAGAAGTCAAAACCAGAGAAGACAAAACCAGGGGTTGACAATGTCACACACACACACACACACACACACACACACACACACACACAGGAGCAATGATACCAACAGTGAGGAGGGTCCAGCAGCTGGACCCTCGAAAGAGCTAAACAGCTAAGGCCAAAAGGGCCCTGAAAGGGACATGAGAACATGCCATCAAAGTGGTAAATGGTGGGGTTGGTGCCTGGGAAACTGGCGGAGTTCCACCCTCAGGTAGGCAGGGGCATAGCACCCACCAGAAAGCCCCAAAAAGCTTCTCACGTGTGGCAGTGCCAGGAAGGCAGGTGGCGGTAGACTGAGTCTGCACTAGGCTGGTTCAGTCCGCAGAACCGGCAGGGGGTCTGCGGAACCCACGTGCTGAGCTGTAAGCCCTTCCTTTAGGGCTGCCCCTGCTGTGCGCCCCTGGGAAGATGTGGCTGTGGGCCAAGCTACCCTCTGACACCATGTTCCCTTGCTATGAGCACCACGCACACATGATCATCACTCCCTCACCACTTGGCGGTGTTTGAGGACTGGGTCACACTTGGGAAGGACGACCAGGTTGGGAAAGACACGCCTCCCGCCTCTTCGGCCTGTGCACACATGCGCAGAAACCAAAGCATAACCCTAAGCCTCCGGTGGCTCCAAGGTCCACGGTGTGCGCAGAGCAAGGGACACTGAGAAAACCTCTAACCCCAAGGCAACGGGTGCAGAAGCGGAGGAGGCCCCTCACCAAAGAAGAAAGCCAGGCAGTGGAGACCAGATGGCACGTGCTGGGGTCCCCTGGACACTGGGTCAGCGCCCTCAGTACTCAGACCCACCCGCAGTCGGGACCCCATCTTCCATTTGCACTAGCCAGAGCAGTCCCCAGCCAGGGCCACCCAACTGGCACAAACTGCTCTTTGTCCAGACCCCCTTGTGCTCCCACACCACAGAGAATACCGGCCCCGCGGCTGCCCTCTGCCAGTGCCTCCCAGCTCCATGCTTGGTGGCTGGGCCGCTGAGGGGCTCCAGGCTCTTACCTCTCGGCCGAGTAGTGCCCAGGCGCCTTCCTCCCGGTGTAGCCCCGGGCGGAGGACCCCAGCAACAGGATCACGATGCAGGCAACACGGAGCAACAGTCCAGCCCACATGACTGGCAGCAGCGGTCCTGGACTCCAGTGGTCTCAGGCCCCCCCGCACCGGGGAAGGGGCTGCCGACCTTGTCCCTCCTCCTAGAAGTGATCCAATCTCCCCAACAGCTGGCAGGAGGAAGAGGACGCCGAGAAGAGGGCCGGGGTTTGGGGGAGGACTGCCTCGGCAGGCAAGGGGGGGGGGGGGGTCCTTGCACCTAGTAGAGAAACACACAAAAGGAGCGCCGCCCGCCGGTGCCTCTCTGGGAGGCGTGGAGCCCGGGGCGGGAGCAAAGATCAGGGACCCCGAGGGCGGGGTTTCACCCTCGGCCCACACCCCCAGCCTGAGTTTGGGAGTCACCTTCCATAGAATGACTGAGGGCTTCAGATCAAAACCTAGGTCGGAAAGACACTTCAGGAACAAGGTTTTTGGGTTTCCGTGGAACCCAATACATCTGTCTTCTCAGGTGAGACTTGTGGACACTCAATCCCAGGACCCTGAGTCTCCTGAGCTTAGGCAGTTTTGACTCTCCCCAAGGCGACCAACAAAGTGGTTAATCTGTTCCCCATGCAAAGGGACCTCCAGTGGGAAATTTAGTCACGCAGTCAATAACCTTGGTTCCCACAGTCCAATCTCTGCTTCGTTCCCTGAGATACATCAGAAGCCACCTCCCTGCAACTATCTTCCATTTGACACGACATGCAATCAGGAAAGGAGTCTTTCATATTGATCACATTTGGGACCTTCAAAGATAAAGGGACATCCAAGCTCAGAGAATTTATTTTGTTTTGCGTGTGTATATAAACTGGAAACTTTACAGGAGAAGAACAGCAGGAGAAAAATAAACTGATGCAGAAAAGAACATAGTGGAGAGTTCACTTCGCCCTCAGATCTAAGTCCCGCGCATTGCTGTAAGTCTTCTGGACCCTTAGGTGACCCTGAGGCTGGCACTCAGAGGTCCTTCAGACTTTTTAGGGCATCTTTCTAGCCTGGAGCAAGCGGGGGCTACACTTGCAACTGTCACAAGAGCACACAATGGCCACCAGGTGCTCTTCCTTCCCATCCCTAGGAAGCTTCTTTCAAACCACTATGCATAGGATAAATTCCCTTAACTCAGCCCTCCTGGCTCATACCACCTGTCACTCACCATCCAGCATACCTCTGCCACTTCTGTTCCTTGCTGTAATTTAGGTGGCCCCACAACCTACTCTGCAGAACTCATTCCCTGGCAGGTGGAAGATCAGAATACTAATCTCCCCAGTACAGCATTCTGGATATAGCAAAGCAGAAATTCCAACTGGAGTACCCCCAAGCACCTCTCTGAGCTTGCCCAACATCTATTTCCTTAGTGGCCTCAGTCTTCTGGCATCCGCCTTGCCACTCACATCGGCTGTTGGCTCCTTCGGTGTCATTCCTTCTTCCTCACCTTGTTTGGTCCTGGGGCTTCAGTTGCGCCTTTCATGTCTTCAAGGACAAGTCTGGTCAGATCCCTTAACTGATGCTTACCTGGTGCTTCTTCCCCCACTTCTGTGGTTTATAGCTTAACAAAGAGAGATCCTTCAGTGAGTAGCAGATCCAAGATGTTGGCTGCAGAATGCAGGCCTCTGGCTTGACCCCCTTCCAAATGACCACGTGATGTGAACCTGTTTCTAGTACTCTCCCCAACGACCCCTGTCCTTGGGAGGCTTGGGGTAAGGATAGCTCATCAGTGCCTGCATGGAAAGGCGTGTCCTGTTGGCTGGAACAGAGCTCTATATGATGACCTTTTACCCTGAGAAGTGATTAATGCTGTTTAAGAGGGGATTGGGGAGTGTGAAGGCAGAATGTCAGCATTGAAAGGTTTCTGGAAATCAATCTAAAACAAATATGTACAATAAATACAAATGAGACAGACTGGAGATGTAGCTCAATGGTAAGCTCTCACGTATCATGTTACAGCCATGCTCAACCCCGGTTCTCCTCCTCACCTCTGTCTCTGAAAGGAACAGAAGTGGATGTGGAATCTTGGTGGAATGAATTTGACTCGGCATGAGGATGAAGTGGTAATGATTCATACTAAGGACCAGAACCTGAGCAGAACAACTGGAGGAACCCCAACAGCTCAATACTGCAAGGACTCTAGATTCCAATTTCAAGACAGACCCCTGATGGCAATCAAGGCAGTTCGTCTGTGGTGGAAGTCAACCCACTAAAGAGGCCCAGATAGACAGGTGCATGCCTATCAGTTTAGCACTCCGAGTACACCAGCCTAGGCTACAAAACAAGACCTTGTCTCAAAAAAGAACACACACACACACACAACACCAGAGCTGTGTATGGTACCCCAGGCCTGTAGTCCAGCACTTGGGAGACCTAAAGCGAGCCTGGACTGGAGTATGATACAATCTCAACCCATCCTTTGAAAATAAGCCTGCCAGGTTAGGACCAGTGGAGCACACCTTTAATCCTAGTTTCAAGAGGCAGAGATTGAGTTGCCTGTTGAGTTCCAGGCAAGCTAGGGCTAAAGTAAGAAAGGCCCTGTCAATATATCAAAAAACTAATCTGCTAGAACAGAACCATCACCTAGCACAATTAACCTGTCATTGTGAATCTCATTGAAACTGAATTTTGCAATCTGGAGGTTATTGCTTGCCTGGCTTACTAAAACTGGTCTATGGTAATAGAAAAAGCCTTTTTCATATTTAAACTTTTTAAATTTTATATGAAAATTGGTGTGAAAGTATTAGATCCCCTGGAACTGGGGTTACAACTGGGTTGTAAGCTGCCATGTGGGTGCTGGGAATTGAACCCAGGTCTTCTGGAAGAGGCAGTGACTTCAACTGCTGACCCATCTCTCCAGCCACTAAACTTTGATTTTAAAGAATGTGATTCAGACTCAAACTCAAACTGCAACTTTTGATATGTCGATTATTCTTTTTCTAAAGACCCCACCCCTGATTCTCAAAAATTCTGACAAAGATGTCAATGAGGCAGACTTACTTGCCAGCAGGCCCAATGCTGGGATGCTTCCTTGCCTTTTATTTTCAAGCTAAAATCTCTCAAAATCATAGCTTAATTTGAAACCCCAATTTTGGTACTTTATCAAAGACTGGTTTTGGTTGGTTTGTTTGACAAGATTTCTCTGTATAGACCAGTCTGACCTTGAACTAAGATCTGCTTTCCTCTGCTGGGATTTGAACCAACATCATGCAGCTCAAAGGCTGCAAGTATGTTCAAGATCAAGACTGTACTATTAGAAAAGAACATCCCTTATTCCCAAAGGCAGAATATAGGCTCAATCCATGCAGGACCAAATGGTAATTCTCCAATGTCCTACTCCTATACTTTCAAGCCAAAGGCTCTGTCAGATCAGAGGAATAAGATGCAAAGGGAGGAGCTGGAGAGATAGCTCAGCTGTTAAGAGTATTCACTACTCTTGCAGAGGACGTTTGGTTCTTAGCAGCTATAGCAGGCAGCTTTCAACCACCTCTAACTCCAGCTCCAGAGGACCTGACGCCCTCTTCTAGCCTAATGTGTATAAATCTACACATAGACACATATATACACACACATACAGTTTAAAATAAAATCTTAGCTGTGGTAGAGCATACCTTTATACCAGTACTTGGGAGGTAGAGGCAGGAGAATCTTTGAGTTCAAGGCCAGCAGCACCTGAGGCTGGCTGGGAATCACAGTGACTGTACAATGAAGACAGGAAAGGCAGCCCAAGCGGCCTCAAGGCTGCCTCATTGCTATCAGAAAAAAACAAAATATCCTTCATGCTTCCAGAATTTCACTCTATCATCCTTGAAATCCCACCCAAACCAATCATGAACAAAGAAGGGGTACAGACATTACTACTATCTGAGAAGCAAGATCTGACTGCAGTTACCACACAGAAAATGCCACTTGGGTCAGCAGGCAATGCAGAGTACACCTCACCTGGGATGATGCACAGCTGGGCAGAGGAAGAAAAGCAGAAACAAACGCATCTTTCTTTTTAGAGTCTACTTTATTTGGTAAAATTCAGAAACTAACAACCAATTCACAGCCCCCTACCTCCTTCTCTGTGAAGAAGGGAGTTCCCCGAGACAAAAGGGCTGTGGCTTGGGAATTATCCACCATCCCAGGTTTCCACTCAGGCAGCCCATGGCCTGATAGGCCTTCAGGCTGATGTTCTCAGAGGCAAGAGAAGAAAGCAAAAGAAAGCTCTCACTTCAACACAATGAAACCCTCTTGACCCTCTTCCCCCTACCTCAACCTCCCCACACCCACAATCTACGTTAAGACAGTAGAGGACGAAGCATGAGTGTGGGTATCACACACATACGTGCACAGAGCTGCTTCTTGGCCAAAGAGCGGCAAAAGTCCTCCCTAGAAGGAGCCAACTGGCAATACCATTCAAGGACTAGTGGTCCAAGGTGATGGCTTATAAAAATCCAGGGAGAAAATATTCCACTTTCAGCCTGTTCCTAGGTCTCTAGTGAACTGGTTTTAGTTATAAAAAGCCCTGTTTCCACACAGATCAGCTGTGGCTCTAGGGGCAGGCAGCTCAGGGAAGTCTCCCATGCCAAGAAAACAAGAGTGGGAAAGGGAGGGAAGGAAGGAGGGCAGTGCCTTTAGGGAGGGTCAGGAAAAGAGCCCATCTATCCTTGGCTAATGGATCCGAGTTAGCTCCTCCACGACTTTGATGAGGTCATCTGCAGTTGCTTCTCGCTTCATACCACTGCCATCATCATACTGAAACGAGACAGGAAGAAGGGCCATGTAGACAAGACAGCATGCTCATCTCAGTAGGCTGAGAGATGCCCACTGGCCACCATTGCTGCAGCAAGAAAAAAAGTTTCACCAAAAACCTGGCCCTAGTCCTTAGGGATCTGGTCAGTCAAGCTGGCTGAGTCCTCCGCTACTCAATATTCCCTCCCAGGAGCACCCTCCTCAGTAAGCCCTCCTGAACTCCACAACTGGTGACGCTTAGTTCCTCCAGGAATCTAACTCCACCGTCTACCTTCTGGTCTTGCTAGAGAGCCCAGGCCTCTTGC